TGTTTGTTGTTTTCTTGTGTTGGGAAAGTTCAATTTAGTCTGTAAGTGTCCTCGATCAGCCGTTTGGACCATGGATGGCCCAAAAAGGCTGATCGAAGTTCTGAGAAATCATCGGTCGCTACAACAGATTCATAGAAGGTTTGATAAAGTTGATCATCTCGTATGCAGACGATACCTCGTTATATTCATTTAAAAATGTCTTGATTATTTTATCAACTGCACTATTTAGCTGAATTTTATGAATCATTATCCAAAAGTCTCCTTTGTGGTAGAAACTAGTAAAGGTTTTTGGTGCTTTGTACCATGAAGTGAAAATAAAAAGGTTATAGCCAAAATTTGTATTTAGCTTAATATTGCTAACATTGAAAATATTGTTTTTCATCTGTTTTGCTGTTAAACCTAAATATTATATTAAAAAAACAAAAAAAACAAAGGCTTACCGTATTTTTCAGACTATAAGGCGCACCAGATTATAAGGCGCATTAAGCGAAATAAGTTCATTTTGACAGATTTTTGAGCGCAGTGTACCACATAAAATTGGTTCGAGGTCATTAAGCACAACCACTATTAATACATAAGGTTCACTGTTAATTTTTGAGAAAATTCAAGGATTTTAAGTGCGCCTTATAGTTTAAAAAATATGGTACCAACTAATTTACAGAAAGTCTGCATCGACCTCTTAAGCCTGCTGGTTGAAATGATACCATTCTTAAACTGCAGCTGTGGGCCGCACAAATTCCCTCCAAGGGCCGCAAATGGCCCTTGGGCCGCACTTTGGACACCCGTGATAGTTAAACAAATACGGCTACCAAGTTTAGAGTTTGACCTGCTTTTTGTAATGTTGGCTGTTTACGTAAGTAAACAAACGTGGGGTAATTGAAGTCAAGACCTTCTATAACTTTCAGTGCTAATTATTGAAAATGTAGATGAATGCATGGAAATATTTGAGCCTGTGTGCATCATTTTTACCATTTGTGGATAAGAAAATCCACAACTTTTCAAATAAATTGTTAAAACAACCAGATAAATGACACGTATGCCCATGATGGAAAATTCTGGCTTTAGCTGTACGACAGTTTCAAAATCATTGGGCATAAAAGTGTTTTTTTTTTATTAATAAATCTTGGATCAATGTAAAGGTGTAAACTTAGAATAAATTTTACACTTTAAAGGTGAAGCTGAAATGTTGAAATGTTCAAAGCTGCATTTTAATTTAGTTAACTAGAGAAATGTCATTTCCAGTGAAAATGCAGTGTGAATGCTTATTGCTGAAGAACTTGCTGAAACAGCTGAAATTAGCTAAAAACGTGCTGAAATGTAAGTGCAAGCCTAAGTTAGCAGAAGAAAGAACACATTTGCTGACTTAGGTTTAAATAAGTACAAATTAGCGCACACAAAAAAGGAAATTAGCTTAAAAGCTGAAATTAGCAAAAATAGCTGAAAAGTATCTGAAAAGACAGAAAAAGTTTAAACGACAAGAAGGAAGTGGATGGAGCTGATATGAGCTAAAAACTGTGGAGTTAGCTGAAAAGCTAAATTTAGCACAACAGCTAAAATGTGGCTGAAATTGCAGAAAAAGTGGAAACTAGCAGAAAAAAGCTGAAATGAGCATAACAAGCTGAAATTAGAAGAAGTTAATTAGGCTGAAAGTAGCAGAAATTACACTGAAAAAGTTACATTTATCTGAAAACAGGTGAACTTAGCTAAAAATGCTAAAAAAAAAAAAAAAGGTAGCTGAGCTGAAAAGGTAGAAAATCTTAATTAAATGAGCAGAAGAAAGAAGAAATAACATGTTGCTGAAATAAAATGAGCACAAAAAAGTGAAAATTATTTAAAAAAAACTGAAATAAAAAAAACAGCTGAAAGGTAGCTAAAAAAGCAGAAAGAAGCTGAAAGTACAAGAAGGAAGTGGAGAGGGTAGTTTTTTGCTGAATTAGCCTGAATTATTTTTTTTAATGAGTGCAAAAATTGTAGAATTAGCTGAAAAAGCTTAAATTAGCATAAAACAGCTAAGTAATAGCTGAAATAGCAGAATAAGCTGAAACTTGCAGAAATAAGCTGAAAAGAGCGTAACAAGCTGAAATTAGCAGAAAGAAGTTAGAAGAAGCTCAAAAATGTTGCAGTTAGCAAAAAGAATCAGAAAGGAGCACAAAACAGCTGAACAAACACCTGAATTTAGCTGAAAATAGCTGAAAAAAGTTTAAATTTGCGCAGTGAATCTGAAAGAAGCTGAACCAGAACAAATGTGAAAGGAGTAAAAGGTTGTAAACGGATCTAAAGATTTGAAGGATGTAAAATGAACTGAATTCATTTTCTGTGAGGAAAAAGTGGCAGAAAAGGCTAAATATTTCAAAAAGCTAAAATTGCACCAATACCAAACGTCACAGCAGGATTGTCCTAAAAAAGAGCTGAATGTTTTGATTTATGTTTTGTTGAAATAGCTTAAAAACTGCAGGACGAGAATCGCGCCGACAAACATAAGGATTAAAAATGGATCACAATAGAGTGAATACTTCATAAACATTCACACAATTAGTATAAATAAAATTTAAAAATGCAGAATAACGTCTACGACCCACACCTTTTACAGTTTGACTTTTCACAGTCAAAATGAAAATAGAAACTCTGGCTAAAAATGACCAGATGCGGAGCGAGCTGCGGTTGCAGGAAACGGTGAGAGCGTCACGTCTTTCAGCGCGGACAAAGAGCAAAGGTCATCCCAGAAACATGTGCTGCCTGAACTCTGACTCCTTTTCCTCCTGTGAGAACGCCTTCTCCTTCACACTTTTTCTCTTTTGCTGAATTTCTTCCTTTATTTTCGTCAAACAGGAACTGGGAAGTCAAATTAGACATTCATGTTGTTTTGTAATTGTTAAAATTCAACACAGATTTGCTGATGTGCAGCTGGCAAACTGTTGTTTGGTTCTGATCAATTCTAAGCCTTTTAAACCTGAGCCTTCAGGTGAAAACACTGAACCACAATGTATAAGCTTTGTCTCCCTCTAGTGGTCATAATGAAAAATGTATCAGTTCCTTCATCATTTTTCAGACTTTTGGATTCTGTTGCAACTTAAATGTCAGATTTTGTGACAAATACTTGAAATAAAAACATTATTTATAATATTAAATAACGCAGGTGTCAACAACAAAATGTACTGTAAAATATTAAATGCAATTAAACAGGTTAAGTTACCCCCCCATCCCCGCTGTGAAAGGCATGCAGCCATGTTTGCCTGTAAGTAAAATATCACATGAAACTACTGCAAGGATTTTAAAGAATCTACCAGAAAGTAATCACAACTAGAGAAATTGCATTTCCTGCGAAAATGCAGTGTGAATGCTTATTGCGGAATAACTTGCTGAAAAACAGCTAAAATTAGCTAAAAACATACTGAATTGTAGTTGAAATGGAAGAAAAAGTCTAAATTAGCAGAAGAAAGCAGAAAGAACAAATATTTGATGAATTAGGTTAAAATTAGCAGAAAATAGTACAAAAGTTAGGAAATTAGAAGAAAAATAATCAGAAATAAGCTAAAATAGATGAATATTAGCTGAAAAAGTGGAAAGAGCTTAAACTACCAGATGGAAGTGGAAAAGCTGAAAGAAGCTCAAAAAAGGTGGAATTAGATGAAAAACTAAAATTTGCATAAAACAGCTAAATTGTAGCTGAAATATGAGACAAAGTTAAAACCACCACCACCACGCTGAAAAGAGCATAATAAGCTTAAATTACTATATGTAAAAAAAGTTATTTAGGTTGAAAATAGTAAAAATTACCATGAAAAACTTGAAGTTATCAGAAAACAGCTGAAATTAACTTAAAATTCTAAAAAGCTGCTGAAAATTTAGAACAAGCTTAAATTAGCACAAAAAGGCAGAAAGAACATGTTTGCCCAATTAAGCTGAACGAAACAGAAACGGGCACAAAAAAATGGAAATTATCTGAAAAAATTTGAAATTAGCAACAACAAAAACAGCTGGAAGCTAGCTGAAAAGGTATAGAGCAGCTTAAACTATCAGAAGGAAGTGGATAGAGCACAGTTTTGCTCATTTACACTGAAAAAGATAGAAATTAGTACAAAAAATGTGGAATTAGCAGAACAAGCTAAAAATTTGCATAAAAGCAGCTAAATAGTAGCTGAAATAGCAGAATAAGCTGAAATCCAGCGATAAGCTGAACAGAGCAAAACAAGCTGAAATTAGCAGAAAGAAGCAGAAAAATATTGTAGTTAGCAGAAAGAATCTGAAGGAGCACAAAACAGCTGAAAAAACAGCAGAAATTAGCTGAAAGTTGCTGAAATGACATTAAAAAAATTGTGTAACGAGAAAAATACCATAAAAGGAATGGAAGAAAAATGGATCACAATAGAGTGAATGCTTCATTAACATTCACACAATAAGTACCCGGTACAACTTGATTAACATTTGGGGTTATCCCCCTTTTAGGACGGCCGGTACAGCTAATTCACCCTAGCAAAAGCAAAAATGGCTGTAACTGTCAGTTGTACAGACACTGAGCTAAACTTTGGCGTAAACTGTTTACTGTTACAAGCACGTGGCTGTAACGTCACACACCGAGACAAAAATTTAAAAAACCTGGTGCACAAAAAAGCCGAGTTGTTTCAAAGTGAGACATTTATTCCACATCTATTGTCAACAAAGAACAAATATTTAGCAATTTACAGTCATATGTTGCATTTACAGTTTTTTAAAAAACAAAAGAAAATGTTTTCTGTTCAAAGACTGAATGGCTTCCCACATGGAAGGTAATAATAATAATAATAATAATAATTTAGGATTCAAGCTTGAGTTTGATAATTTATTCCTTTAAAGTTAAGAGTTACACTCGTTTCTGTTTCAACTCATGCTCCATCCAGGCCTCTCTCTGTACAGACACTGGGAAAACTCAAGGGTTGTATGTTTTTACTCCCAACATCAACGATTCGTATTCAACGCTGCCCTTCCAGTTTGTGTCCCATCCATCTAAAATCTCCAGTTTCAAATTCGTGTGGTGAACTTCTAAGATCTCCGTCGTGTTCAGCCATTTACGGCAATAAAACATCAGTATTAGTGCTACTCCTTTAAAAAAAAAAGGGCTATAAAGTGTCCATCTTGAGTTTTTATGAAAAGCACACGGGACCGATGTCCAGACCAAACTCCTGTTCGGCCTTCCCAACGCCCAGGGGGGCCAAGTCCACAACGGGGAGCCTGGTGGCCGTTTGAGTCCTGTACTCTAGCACTGTCCTGCCCCACTCTCCGTTGGATTTCTGAAGAACAAAAAGGTAGAAAGCTTGATAAGTATCATAAGTTAGATTTTTAATTCAGTTTGAATGATTTACAGTAGTCCCTCGCTACTTCGCGGTTCGACTTTCGCGGACTCGCTCTATTGCGGTTTGTGGACACAGTCCATAATATTGTACAAATTTTTTTTAATATAATTTTAAAATAAAATAAATTGTACATGACACATGATTATCAGCTTTTATATTACTCACGTGATTAGGACATTAGTTCACAAAGAAATAAAATACTTTGGACAGGCACCGCCATTTTGTAGTTTTCTTTCAATAAGCCTACACTGTAATCCCGCTCATAACGACTACATTTCCCAGAAGTCAACAGTGCTCCACCCAAAAGCCCCATTTCCTTCTGCTGAAATACTAGAGGGAAAGTTTGGATCTGATCGGAAAATGTTTGGCGCTCATTACAGTGGCTTCAGCGCCCAGCGGGTGAAGAGAGCTGCACGAAACCCACCGAACCGGAGCAGAACCAGACCTCCAGACCCATTGGTGAATGTTCAGAGATGGTAGCCTGCCTACGTAGACCTCCGAGCGGGGACACGCGCCAAAGTGCACGCTCCCATGGTCGCCATTTGGCAGCCAAGGATTTTTGGCACAACACTGGCCCACGTTTCCGGGTAGTCAGCGGTGACGCATAATGGATGCGACTTATAAGGCGAAGAGACTTATTCATGTTTTTTCCCACTTTATTAGACATATTTGGACTGATGCGACTCATACGGCGGTGCGACGTGTACGGTGGCAGGTACGGTAAGTAAAATTTAGTAGCTATGTTGTTGAAATGACATAGGTTTAAGAATTGAGAGCATTGCAAGAGTGTATGACAGGCTTATAGAGCCTTAATATACTGTATATATATATATATATATATATATATATATATATATATATAT